AAAATTTAAGGCTTCGTTATGGCATCCCACATTTGATTTCACTATAGCACTTAATGTCATCATGATCATCGCCAAAGAAACGCATATTCTTGTTAATGTATACGGCTGAAGTGTTTGGAGACAAATAACAAAGGGTTTAGGTCCCAGACATATTCAAGGATCCGTTTGACTTTTTTTAAAGCAAGCTTCGCGAAGAACCCACCCCATATACTTAACCACTATTAGTTTTTATTTCATTTTTGACTGTTACTGTACCTTACATCCGTGTAGTTCTTGTTCATTTCCAAGATGAACATTAGCTTGACTTGAAACTTTGAAGTGGACTGGAAAGGACAAGGTCCACGTTATATATATTATGCAGGGTGGACGACCAAGACCCGAGTGTTTAAATGCCTGGGTAGACTCGTACCCCATTCCTAAAAGGTCCGGGACTTGGTCGGCTCACGTGTCCTGCATAAACCACTTGGACCTGTTCACAAACCCCAAGATTTTGGACCATTTAATCGCGGGGAGTGACTTGGTGATGTCCGGGTGAAGCCAGCGTACACGGGGAACAGTGTGTTTATAGCAACTCAGTACGACGTGTTCCGCCGTCTCTTCCTCACCACACTCACACATCGGGCTTGATTTCAGTCGGAAGGCATGGAGCTTTGCGGCGAAGTCTCCATGTCACGTTAGGAGCTGAGACAAGTAATGATCGATGGCGAGATGTTTCATCTTTAGTCTGTCTTCTATTTTTGGGAGGAGCTGGTAGGTGTGGCGTCCCTTGGATGTATCATCCCATCTTAACTGCCACTCTCTTACCAACCATTCCTCTGCCTCTTCCTTGCTTGTAACTGGGATGCACGGTGGGCGTCCATTCTTCAGTTCCCATTTGGCACAAAGCGCTTTCGCTTTTAGGCCGATGGGCGGCCTATCAGCGACGACTTGTAGGGCCGCCGTGGATACCGTCCTATATGCCTGGGTGACCGCGAACAGGGCTACGCCCATCGTTTGCCCGCAATTCGCGAGTCCAAGCCGGCGCCGCGTAGAGTATTACTGACTCGCACAGCGCCGGGTAATAGACTTGTCTAGTTTTGTAGGAGATTCCCCTTCAAAACTGATAAGTGAACCATCTGTATAGCAGTCTATGCTGCAAAGGTCATCATCCACACTATAATTATATTCACAAGGAATGACTACCTGAAAGTACTTTTTCCCCGAAGGGGTTTTTATCACTAACGCTTAATAATTGGCTGTTAACCTTACTCAATAGTTGTAGGATTTTTGAGTGACCTATGTTATTGCACTTATGATTCCAGCTGCATTCACTAATTAATCTCTAGCAGCTGATTAGTGCTCTGACCTTAGCCTCTATGTGTAGAGGTGTGGTATTGGTTATGATTTCAAGCTCCTGTCATCATCAAACAGCCTAGTCTTTGAAATGACCTGAATTTGTTAGTATTCCCTTTATTTTCTAGACCTTTCCAACATACTAAAGCTGCGAATAATAATCTAGGTAGAATAATTGCAGTATATAGCCATTTGGCTACCCATGGTTTGAGGCACCATGTTTTACCGACAATTCTCCTACATTGTACCACAGATATTTTTTCCTTTCCTTTCCTGTATATGTTATTAGTATGACCTTTCCAATCAAGTTTCCTGTCAGGCGTCACACCAAGGAATTTGATTGAATCCACTAATTTTAATTCTATGCCCTGAAATTTAGAAGGTCCACGTTACTAAAGCATGATACAAACAGTCATACTGGAATTATTTTTTTCCTCAGATGCGTTTGATCGTGGTAGCTGTAGACACTTAGCTCGCCGTTTTGTATGGTAACAGATATCTTAGACTTCCGAGTTCCAGGTAGACTTGTGCTGTGGGTCTGCCACATTAACCTACCACGCCATCGACTATCTTGGTATTTGTTCCTAGTTTATATGATCAGTATCTGCATTTTTTACGTAGTGCAGTTTTTGATCTTTCCCAAAGGATCTAACGATGGACCTAATTGTTGGTTTCAGGTTGTCTAGAAAGGACGATGTCCATTTTATTTCACAGAGCCAATCGCGTATATTAGTTCTCCAAGGAACCGTTCGACATTTTTTGTTTTAAAATGGTAAAAATATGGAGTTCTTTTTTGAAAATACTCATCTGCTTACACAACTCTACGTTATATAAAAAAAAAATTACTTTTGTTAACTACCTCGGTATTTAATGAACGTTCAAGATGGAATTTGAAAAGGTGGGGCAACAATTAAAACGAGCCTACTCAGGTAGTATAAAAACTTGGTCATAAACCAAGACGACAATTACACCAAGCGCACACCCCTAATGAAAAACAGGATGCTAATTACCATCGTAGAGGGGTGGCAAGAACCCTTAAATCCAAAGAAGCCAGGTATGAAGCCGGGGTGTGGAACATCGACCCGGCTAATTATACAAACCTATACAGTCGGTATGGACGGTATAATACTCCTATATATTATCGCGCGCTTGGTTTTTGGAGCGGCGTTACTTTACAATTCCGGAAAGTAGAGTTGTTTCAGAACAAACTCTCGTCTGGTTAATGCCGCGTAACTTTACACGCGATTATTTTTAATTAATCCACTTTTAACTTATTAATTAATCCACGTTTTATTTCGGTATCAAAGTTGAAGAATTCATCCAGAAATTATGAACGTTAACGTATTCGAAAACTGGAACATCCGTGCGATATTTGATGTCAAGTACCCAGCTAGTATTGACTATCAATGTTTTGTTATTTAAGTTTATTTAGTATCGAAAATTTTTATAACGTTCGATAGTTTGAAAACATTATTTTTCAGCAGTTGTTGGATCCTTGACAAAGACTTTTAAGTTTCTTCCCTAAAGTGACATTTCTTTGTGAGAACTGCGAGGTAATGTAACTTTGGGCTTTCTTCCCATTCGATGGGGGTTGGCGTTTTCATGCGGTTTTCTAAGCATCTCTCGACTCTCCATAACCCCCGATCGAAGTCCTAGGATTATTGCAAACTATGGAAAATATACTAGTGGAAAGGGCAGAGTACAATGCGGACGGCGAGATGCCTCAGCGCTTGAAAGTATCAGGTTTTAGCTTTCGGTTTGAACACCATCTTCTTCCTTAATTCGGTGATACCCGTCATCAGAAGAGTCAATGTGTTTTGAGTAGTTGGCTGGAATCGAATTCCTTATCTTGTACATGAGATATTAATGCCCAGGTCTAAGAAACCTGCCGAGCACTATCTTTGTTTCAAGGGATTATTCATTGAATCTGGTCCTTTTTTTATCCTCCCCCAACTTGGTTGGTTATTTTCGCTGAACAAACCGAAACAGCAGTTACGCAACATAAAGTTGCCGATGACAGAAGTGGGTAAATATTCCGAATCTAAAAGAACGAATGAATAATAAAATCGTTGTATCAATAGCACACAGATAATACCAAAGCAAGTCATAAATTCATAGTAACGGATACCATCATAGTAGATGATGGGGTTTGGTCTGCGAGTTGGCGAACTCATGTTGAACCGGCACACGGGCACTACTGGGTCTGTCCTCATTCGCGGGATTTTGTTTGAGTGAAAAACGTTTTTCACTGAAGATGGCGTAATGCCGAAACGCGTTTGAATAACTCAAACAAAAAACCCGCGAGTGAAGACAGACCCAGTAGTGCCCGTGTGCCGGTTCAACATGGATACCATCAAGAGCATAAGACCAAGCAATCGGTCTAGACGACATACCAACATCACGACCTGCTTTCTTCGGTTTTTATTTAACTCCCAAAGACGACTCTTGTACCTAATATGCATCGTGGTTTGAAAAAATATTGAAAAATTGAAATAGCTGTGCGTAACCCAGGTCATTCCATGGCTCCTTCCTTCAACAATTTCTTCCCATTCCCTTTGCTATATTATAAATCTTATATATACACTCGGCACATTCGTTCACGCCCTTCTGATCACTACCCCTTCTTATACAAATCCAATTTTAGACGCTCCTTCCTTAACCGTTTCTAGAACCTCTTGAATTAACTAACTCCATTTTCCTTGACTCAACCCTTTCCATCTTTAAGCCCAGACTTTTTCATTTCTTCCTTTTCTTACAATTTAACATCAAGGATGGTTAATGTTTTGTTAATTTTTGCCCTTTTTATTTCATTTATGCTATTACATTTAAATCTTTACTTATGTGTTCATTTAACACGAATTGTTCCAAATTTTGTACTTTTTTGTGATTAAAGGGTGCCGAATCCCCAGAATAAAATTTATTTTCTTCTTCTTACACAAATGTCTTTATTATAAACTTTATCTTTGACGTTTTACATCAACCCTCTAAAGGGTAATGCACCCCCTGAGCAGTGCAGCTGTACAGCATCTTGTACTTTATCCATTTTTGTGGGCTCGGATCACAAGTGTGAATTTGTGCACCCGGTGTGCCGGTGTTTTTCCATCGAAAAAACTCATTTTTGAAGGGGGTTGGGACCAAATTCAGGGTCGCTGAGATCTGATCCCCTTCCTTCCGTTGAAGGGTGCCGTGTCAATTTCTTTCAATTGCGGCCACCGGTCCCCTTAGGCTTCAGAAAAAGTCCAGTGGCGACGGTGGGGATCGAACCCACGACCGCGTGATCTATTAGCCGAGAGTCTGACGCCTTAACCACTCGGCTACCGCGGCCCCCAGAAAAAAATTATATTAGTATTCATAATAATCATGGAGGTTTTTTTTTTTAATCGTAATTTACAGGATGTTTTTCTTATGCATTGGAGTGAGTGGCTCGTTTTGGTCATTGCCAACGTTGAATCCTCATTTAGTGTCGATAATCATAATCGTAATTTTTTAAATTGGGGGTCATGTAAATTGTCAAAGCCTTACGGCAATACGCCTAGCGGACTTGAAGTCTTTTTCTCGGGATTCCGGCGTAGATATCTTGTACAATTCAAATCAGTTAATTTATATATCTTAAAAAAAATAACAACCACATTTGGGTGAGGTATGTTTATTAATTATTTCAAGATCAATTTTGAAATGCTAATTAAATATCTTTATTGTGATTTTTTTTCTACTCTTTTGAACTACACTTTCGAGGAAGATCCAAGATCATATTAATTTTTTTTTTATCACAAATAATAATCTATCTCGTCATAAGCTGGAAAGTTGACAAGGTTCCTCCCTCTGTAGCCAGTGTTCCTGGGTTCTTTTCCTTTCAAAATCTGCCCATATAAACTTCGTCTCACTGCAAGAAAATTAGTGATTAGCTAACTCTTTCTAATTCAGATATTAATTTTTATGATTATTTGGAGATTGTGAGATGCGGTCGTTGTGATGTGATAAATACGATAGATATTGTGTACATCATTGTATAAATTCATTTTCTATTTTGTATAATTTAATGTTTGTAAATCCCAGGCTCTGAAGATAATCTCAATAAAAATCGAAACGGCACGATAAAGAAAATGATTTTATAAAACCTACATCACACAAGACCGCATTTCAAATACATTGATTTTTATGTTGGCTTACATCTGTTTACATAGTACGTTTCAAACGAAAACGCAGTCGCTATGATCGCAAAAAGGAAAAATAACACCTGAAACAAATTTTATAAACAGTAATCAACTCTTTCAATTGAAATTAACTTCCAACACTCACTTTTCCGTTCATGATGATGGCAAGAGATTGACAGTTGGAACATTTCAAGCGCGGTTTATATACTTCCGTTCAAGGTTAAGGTTAGATGTAATCGCCGTGAAAAATCTTTAAAACTCCATGACAAATCCGTATAAATATATTTAACGACTTAGTTTGTTATGGTCTTTATAAATATTTTTTTAAGATGGATTTTATTAGAAAACGTAGATGGGGATTTTCAAAGCAGAACTGTACATTCCATTGTTAATTTCAATAGTTAAAACTTGAAAAAAAAACAAGACGAACGGTACCTCGGAGGACTAAATGTGTAAAATCACGGTGAAATAAACGGACATCGTCCTTTCTAGACAACTTGAAACCAACAATTAGGGCCACCGTTAGATCCTTTGTGAAAGATCAAAAAGTAAGTTCACGGTCGTTGGCAATGTTGGGGCTGAATCGGTCTTCAAGGAAATTTGATATCGCCTGTAAAAAAACAAAACGCCTAAACATGTCTATCGGTAGACATTTAAGATTGTTTTGCTGTGATGATGACCTTAAAATAGGTCGAAAGCTTGGCATTAGCAACTAATTTTGCTTTCTTCTTCTTCAAGATCTTGATTCAGCGTGTTCGTAAGATCAAAAACTGCCTTATGTAACAAAATGGCAAAAAAAGAGGGAAAATTAGAAAGATTGTATGTTGGTATGAGGAGTTGGTGTCCGAGTGGATCGAAGTCACGATAGTCGTGGTTGGAGCAGCGGCGTATTGAGCCGAAGGTCGTGGGTTCGAATCCCGCTCGTGACACTAGCTTTTTCATCTCAACCCAGACCACACACAAAAAGAATAATTCATCGCAAAATAGTAACAGATACCGAGAAAGTCTATGGCATATTGGGTTCATTTGGCAGAACAACAATACAAGTCTCCTAACAACTTTTTCTCAATAATGGTAGGACTACTAACCGGTCACTGGCATCTGAGAAAACATCTACACAACATGGATATGTACAGCGATGATCCCATTTGCAGATTATGTAATGAGGAGGAGGAAATAGCTATTCATATCATCTTCGAATGCTTAGCAACAGCTCAATGGAGATTCAACCTAACGTACGGAAAAAACTTAGGGAATCAAATTGCAGCAGCGACAGTCAATGACCTGATACTTCTATGGAGAAGGATTGAGTCTATTGCACTGAACTAAGGAAAAAGGAAGGTACAATAAGCCAGAAGGCTGCAGTGCCTGGGGAGTGAAACCCCGCTTCCTAGTTTCTTTTTCATCATACCATACCAATTATATAGTGAAACGAGGTGACTATTATCAATAAGCTACTTCAGTGGATCTGAGGATTCCATTAACTGTATCGTCTAAAATGCCGATCGTGGAGTAATGCATTATTTCCAGGTGTTCTGTCTGCAAGTGTTGTACTTAATCATTGCCGTCCAATAATCGTTGTCGTATCCGATATGTACCGGTAGGTACTTGCGGTACTCAAACCAAGCATCGAAGTTTCCCTGCTTAGATTAGAAGGACAAGTGGTGTGGTTATGTTTAACTGCGTTTAGGACTGGAATGACGATGGAACAATAATTTAATTTTCTCCCTGCAATATTTATTAATATTTCAATAGTACAAAACCGGAATAGTGTACAAGATGTTATCATCGAACACATTCCTCATGAATAATTAACAATATTCCCATCTACGACAATTGTTTGTATTGTTATTCTATTGCTCGATTGGATATTCAAAATCCTTATCCGGATACATTTCTAACTCCCAACGGCTATTCGCACAGGATGATCGTGGACATTGACAACAAACCGGAAATGGGGCCACTGTACAAGATGAAATATCCCCAGGTCTAAACGACGGGAAACCACCTGTACCGGAAATTACATTTTCACAAACGGCACAACGTGGAATTGTTTGAGTGTTCAACTCGTGGTAACTTCTCAAATTTTAAACTTTAACTACAAAACTACTTTCAAAGAATGATTTAAAATAACAGACTAAACTGTTGTTATTGAACGTTTCATCATTCATTTAACCTCAGTTGTTAAAATACGCATTATGTATCGAACAAAGCAATCCATTTTTAGTAAGGGGGTGGTTTTATTGCTTTTTATAAACGGAGGCCTGAGTGTTTTTGTGCCATTTCTTGAAGTATCGACACTGTCCTACAATGCTTCATGTATTTAATCATCGATTTACGGAAAAAATTGAGGCAAAATTCGATATTGAATTAATACATCTATCGACGTTTTGAAGTATCGATATTAATAAAACTATATCTTATGTGAAATCTAGATCTGAAAAACATTATCAATACTATATATTTGATCAAAAATCATCGATATATTATAAAAAAAACATCGATATTTCTTTAGAGTGGCCGAAATTTTCTTCAAAAAAGAAATTGGAATTTATGGAAAAACGTCAAGAGATATCAACGCTGTTATAATTCAAAATGGTTGTATATATCAATATTATCGTTTTAAAAAATCAAACCTCATCCTTCCTTAACATTAACCTTAACCTATTCCGAGTCGTAATGTTAACTCTAACCCTACTTACCCTAACCTAACAGTGATGCAACTCGTCCCTGGACCTAAATCTATCCCTAACCCTAACTTTAACATTACCCTCACCCTAACACGTCTTTGATCTAAACCCTACCTGACCTAACCTAACACTGATGCAACTCGTCCCTGAACCTAAATCTATCCCTAACCCTAACTTTAACACTTACCCTCACCCTAACACGTCTTTGATCTAAACCCTACCTGACCTAACCTAACCCTAATGTAACTCGTTCCTTAACATAAATCTAACCCTAACTGAACTTTAACACTTATCCTCACCCTAACACGTCTTTGATGTAACCCTACCTGAACTAACCTAACCCTAATGTAACTCGTTCCTTAACATAAATCTAACCCTAACTGAACTTTAACACTTATCCTCACCCTAACACGTCTTTGATGTAACCCTACCTGAACTAGCCTAACCCTAATGCAACTCGTTCCAAAATCTAAATCTAACCCTAACCTTAACTTTAACACTTACCCTCACCCTGTCACGTCTTTGATCTAAACCCTACCTGACCTAGCCTAACCCTAATGCAACTCGTTCCAAAATCTAAATCTAACCCTAACCTTAACTTTAACACTTACCCTCACCCTGTCACGTCTTTGATCTAAACCCTACCTGACCTAGCTTAACCCTAATGTAACTCGTTCCTAAACCTAAATCTAACCCTAACCTTAACTTTAACACTTATCCTCAACCTAACACGTCTTTGATGTAACCCTACCTGAACCAACCTAACCCTAATGCAACTCGTTCCTAAATCTATTCTATTCCTAACCCTTAATTTAACACTAATCCTCACCCTAAACCGTCCTTGATATAACCCTACCTGACCTAACCTAACCCTAATGCAACTCGTTCCTAATCCTAAACTCGCCCTATCCCTAACTTTAACACTTATCCTTACCCTAACACGTCTTTGATATAACTCTACCTGACCTAACCTAACACTAATTCAACTCGTTCCTAAACCTAAATCTAACCCTAACCTTAACTTTAAAACTTATCCTAACCCTAACACGTCTTTGATATACCCCTACCTGAACTAACCTAACCCTAATGTAACTCGGTCCTAAACCTAAATCTAACCCTAACCTTAACTTTAACACTTATCCTAACTCTAAAACGTCTTTGATATAACCCTACTTGACCTAACTTAACCCTAATATAACTCGTTCCTAAACCTAAATCTAACCCTAACCTTAACTTAAACACTAACACAACCCCCCATAATCTAGCGTATCCCTAATCATAATCATATTCCTAACACTACCAAACTGAACTTCCCCTGACCCTAACCCAAACCTATACCAAATCATAAATCCGAAACAAATCTAACCTACATCTAATCCAATCCGCCTCTCACCATACACAATCCACGGCAAAAACATGCTTGTTAAGTCTTCGTCTAAAGTTATAATCGATTTTCGTGTAACGATGTTTTACCAGAAACCATTATTTTATATCAGAACATAAATAGATATTTTTGTCGAAAAACTTTCGCTTCGCACTCGCATTCTCGACTAGACGGTACACGTTGAATCATAGATGTAAAATCTCATCTGTCACTGGCATCACTTTAACCTAAACCGTCCCTAATTGTAACCTAACCAATCTCTAATCATAATCCTAACCGTTCCACTCTTAACCTAATCCTACCCCTTTCTAACCTTACCTGGTTAATCTAATACGTCCCTAAATTTAAAAGCGCGATGTCCGTTAACGCAACTCACTTTTTTTCCAACTCACAAGCATATCCATCCACCGTAATCATAATCCTAAACCTAATCAAACCAGTCTCTAAATCCAATCTTATTCTAACCCTAACCTGACCCAACTGATGTGCATTCTTAACGCGAAAATTAAAGCAGAAGAAAATAGTGCGTCTAGTCTTGGCCCAACTATCGACCTCTTAACCCCATGACGTCTGACTAATCCATTCTTTTTATCGTTCCGTAGTTTGTTTTTGTCAAGGTTGGAGAGTGTTACCACGCCTGTTTATATATTTTATTCCCATTGCCTTCCTGTCTCTAGCAAAATCGGATCTGGGGCTATTTTATGTTCAATCGCCTGAATTCATAATCTAAGTGCTTAAATGGCGTGGATGTTCTGTAATGACCTTATGATCAGAAAAAAATAGGCTCAAAGGTGTACGAATATAAGGCCTTTGATAACAACAGTTACAGGAAATGCCAATGACATGATGCCTTCCACTTGTAAATATTTAAAAACAGAAAGAATTTTAGAATACCCGTTGTCCGGCTCTGTACTAGATTATCACGGCGGATATCTGACAGTTTAACGCTTTCATCCATCTTTAGGCCGTGTATTCCATCCGATCAAAAACGGATCCGAGGCCGGGCAGGAACAATTTTCACCCCATTTATGCCATTGCTTTCAGTCCCCAGCGATATATATCCGGGGGACGTTTTAAAAGGAAATCCGAGGCTTGTTAATACGCGTTTTCCATACAAACAACCATA